GAGGCGATATTCATGTTGGAGGGACCGTAGTGGCAGGCTGCCAAGGAAGAGACAGATCCAGTCACCAAGGAATCTGTCTCAACCACAGATGCCACTGTGGCGGCAACAGCAGGTGATGCATTCCTTGAAGGATTCATTCCTGCAAGGATGCATTCCTGTTGATCCAACATACAGAGGCAGTGACCTCACCTTTGCCTCCTAGATGGGCCAACCCTGGCAGGTTGTATCCCTATGGGAATAAATTCTGTGAAGATGCAGAAATGAAACCATTATTTATGCCGTGGAATGAGAATGCACTTTGCATGTCCACAAGAGCTTGCTAGGAGGCAACTAAAACTGGGAGAACCCTACTGATTTCTTTGCTCCCAGGGGCATGGAGGTTAGGATAATGCGTTTGGGGGATAGGATAAGGGGTTTCTGACGCCTTTGGGGTTGGATTGGGAACCAATGTAGAGAGACTGCAAAAGTATGTATTTACTTGTGGTTTATTTAGTACAGTGGTGCTCCGCAAGACGAATGCCTCGCAAGACGGAAAACCCGCTAGACGAAAGGGTTTTCCGTTTTTGAGTTGCTTCACAGGACGAATTTCCCTATGGGCTTGCTTCGCAAGACAAAAATGTCTTGCGAGTCTTGAGATTTTTTTCCGCTCCCCCCCTTTTTCTAAGCCGCTACGCCTTTAATAGCCTTTTAGCAGCTAATCCGCTAAGCCGCTAAGCCTTTAATAGCCGCTAAACCGCTAATAGCGCTAATCCGCTAAGCCGCTAATAGGGTTGCTTTGCAAGACGAAAAAACCGCTAGACGAAGACACTCGCGGAACGGATTAATTTCGTCTTGCGAGGCACCACTGTACAGTCATTTGAACTGAAAGCTCTTTAGTGCCACCTGCAGCCTTTTAATTTAACAGACAAAGGTTTTTGTCTGAGCTCGAGTTCAGTTTCCACCACTGTGTCTCTGGCACAGTACTAGACGGCAGTGTCTTCTGGCTTCAGGCTGTTCATTTGAAGATAAAGGTTGGTGCTGTCCTTGGAGCCAGTGAAACGCCCTTGGATGGTTGGGGAGTACTTATTGTTGGATGATGAATAATAGTAAAGCAGCCATTCCAGCCCTTTTCCTGGAGACTGCCGGATCCAGTGCATGGTATTGCTGCTAAGAGCAAAACCTCTTGTGGCACAGGTTAACCTCACAGATTCTCCAGGCTTTTTCATTTCTGGGCCTGACTGAGTGAGGACAATCTGTGAATTGGCCCCTGCAGAGAGAAGAGACATACTGCTTAACTGTGTGCAATTAAAAGCAAACACACAAAAACAGGTATCACATCAGGATTGAAACAGTGACCAAAAGTGGAAATAATTCCCCACACCACTAGTAAATATAATAAAGATACAAAAGAGTCAAGAGTGACCAAATGTGGAAATAACTCCCCACACCACTAGTACATATGATAAAGATACAAAACAATTGACTTACATGGTAATGTGCTTATAATCATGATGAAATGTAAGTTCCACAACATTTTAAAATTTATAATTGGAGAATTGAGGACCCAAAGAAATTACTGAAGCAGATCTCCTGAGCTTTGAATCCATCTGAGGGATCTGGTGTTTACCTTTAAAGAGGAAAGGAACGTTTTCAGTTTTGCATATTTTGGGTGGGACTGGAAACATCTGATATAAAAGAGATGAGCTGTACTGGACCGCAACTTCAGTATTTTCTGGTTCAGTTGAAATTTACCCTGCTGGACCTAGGAAAGAGCCTTGGGCCAGGAGAACTGGTCTCCAAATCCTGTCTTATTCATTTTGTGACTTTGCTGCAAATGGTTTATTTTCCTCTCCATTTACATCATCACCTCACTGCGGGAGCCCTCTGACTTGGCTTGCAAAGCACACCATAAATAAACACAAAGAAAGCAAATCATTATTATACGTAAAAAAATTGATAGCAATTTAATTTAAAATGAAAACACCCATTGAAATGCAAATCTGAGAAGTTAACGTTATAAAATGTAAGTTATTTATAATATCTGGTTGCATATGGTGCCAATTATTGGGATGGCAACTCCACAACTGGGGCATCAATACCAGAAAAAGGCCACCTTTCTTTTGGTGTCCATTTCACTTCATTTGTTGCAGAATAAACTAGTGATTTGAGCAGCTGTTTCCTTCTCACTTCAATCTCACTGATACTGCATCTTAAGTCTATTGTGTTCTATTGTATTCCAATTCACCCCATCCATTCTGTTCCACTGTACATATTAAGGACACAATTTGGGCACGCACACCACCACAATAAAACACACACTTCTCAGATCTGAAAAATTCGATTCTAATCCATAAGCAAGAACCAAGTACCAGTGTTCTAGCAAAAAAGTAGACTGAAATAAATCCTCCCCAGTTCGTGGTTTAAGAGTAAAATGTGAATTAGCTAGAGACCCAGAAAGTATCACATCCATATATTGTTTAGGAGGAAGGTAATGTCCCAGAACCGTAAAACTTAAAGAGTAGGTTCAGTTAGCACAGCACATTAAAGTTATCACAATTCAAGGGAATATTATATCCCCTGGGTATATGAAAATCAGATTTATTTAGGGAGCAAGATTGTCTCCTTGGGTCTCATGGAAAATTTCAAATGGGCACTTATAATCTCTTTTGACTAAAGAACCGCTCACGAATGGAAGGAACGTGAGAAGAAAGAAAGAAAGAAAGAAAGAAAGAAAGAAAAGAAAGAAAGAGAAGAAAACAATCCTTAGATGAAGAGATAACATGGTTCAGGAGAGGGCCAGATGAAAGATTCACAATCTACATTCATTTACTTCAAAAGAACAGTTCCTAGACACCTGCTTCCTCTGGTGAAAGGAGATGTCCTCTCTAGTATCTCTGCTACTTGCGGCTTTGTGGTTTTTCTGAGTTTCAAGACACTTGTGGTTCTGTGGTTTTCCTCAGTTCCCACCACCATGGAACAAGAGCACCACCAGCAGCAAGTCATTGGCATAACTTACAAAGCAGAAGGTTTTTTCTTCTTTTGCTGGTTCTTTAGGAGTCCTGGCTGCATTGCCATCACAGTGCATCACTGGTACAGCAATTAATGGTTGCAACATTAAACTGCACTTTGTTCTCCACTTTGGGGCTAATTATTTGCTGATTGAAGTTGAAGCCATCTTTTAAAGTGTTGAGTTGCCCTTGGCTTGTGGGTGAAGAAGAGCCACTGCTTTCTTCCATTGAGAATACTAGGCATGGAGGTTCCTTACTGGAGCAAAGGATTAAAGCTGTCCTCCTCCCACACCATAGTCCAGCTCTTACTCCTCTCAGGCTGGCCATTTATTTATTTAAACATCAACTATTCAAGGCCAACCATGGGAAATCTGTTATGTATGTCTGGAATAGCCCCAAGGTACAATTTCATCACAGAGTGGATCCTGGGATGTTCTCACTGGTAGTAATTTGCCAGCAGTCTTTTCTGTCACTTGCTATCTGTCCCTTTTAATGAGTTGAACCTGGAATTTCCTGCATGCAAAACACATTCTCTGTCTCTGGAACACCCCCTGTTATCACTCATGGAAGCTACAGGTTCCATCAAGATCTCAGCTCAAGATGAGTGGCTTCAAAGTCCACAGTGTTAATCACAGGGCTCACCACCGCAGGAAGTATTTCAGGGATGAACTCAGGAATAGAGGAATTTGCCTTCTCCCAGATCAGACTTTTTGTTTATTTAAGCCAGGATTGAATTCCTCTGGCTGTCAGCCACTTTCCGGGATGGCAGACAGAAGGTCTCCCCCATCTCCTGCTTCCTAATCCTTTTAATTTTGGGACAATAGGAACTGGGGCCTCCTGCAAGCAGGACCAGAATGCAATAAAACTCTCCTTTTTTTTATTCAGCTCATTTTCAGAGAAATGCCACTTCTGATATTAGAGTGCAAATAAATTGTATATCAAATGAGCCTCAGACAGCACCTCCTTCTTCATAAATGGACAGGGGGAATCTCATTTTTATGAGCTGTTCTTTGCAATTTATTGGAAGAACTGCAGTTCTGCTATTAAACTGTGTTCTCTCTCTCTCTCGGCTAGAAGGATGAATAAACTCAACAACGTCTAGAAATATGGCAACACTATGTGAAGCATAGGTAAAGGTAAAGGGACCCCTGACCATTAGGTCCAGTCACAGACAACTCTGGGGTTGCGCGCTCATCTCGCTTTATTGGCCGAGGGGGCCAGCGTACAGCTTCCGGGTCATGTGGCGAACCAGAGCAGCACAGGGAAATGCCATTTACCTTCCTGCCAGAGCGGTACCTATTTATCTACTTGCACTTTGATGTGCTTTCGAGCAGCAGCAGGAACCGAGCAATGGGAGCTCAGCCCATCGCAGGAAATCGAACCTCTGACCTTCTGATTGGCAAGCCCTAGGCTCTGTGGTTTAGACCACAGCACCACCCGCGTCCCAAGTATGTGAAGCATACTTGCTATTTATTCTGCTGTTAGCTCCTCCGACCCTTCTCCTGTGTTTAACAGCTAAGAAGACACTCAAATAAAAACTCAACAACATTTTTTTTCTCTGAAGCCTCACCCAGAGTGCCTCTCACTGAAGGAAAAAGTTGCAGCAGTGCCACTTGACTGTGTTCACAGAGTAATGAGATCAGATGAAAGTTATACTTCAGGAACAGGGCCACAAATTTCCTAATGCTAAATGGACTTCGTATACAGCATCTTTCTTTGCACCTGTGATATGAGACATTCTAAGGCTTTTTTTGAGGTTATTTTCCCATTGTTTGCTTTTCAGAACAGAGCACTCTTCTGTCATTAATGAATCTGAAGGGAGAGGAAATGAACAGGCAGGAAAAAACAGGGCTATTTCAAGTATATGCAACACTGAAGCCTGGTTCTCAGTTGGGGTGATTTTTGTACAGCCGCGGAGTTGGGTTGTCTCACTGTGTCTCTTGCACAATAGTACATGGCAGAGTCTGCAGGCTTCAGGGCCCTCAGTTGCAGGGACACCTGGCTTTTTGAGATGTCCCTTGTGATGGTGATCCGGTTTTGGAGAGCAGAGTTATAGTTATTGCTTCCATCATACCCCATTCGTCCAGTCCACTCCAGCCCTTTTCCAGGAGGCTGACGGAACCAGTGCACACCATTGCTTGTTAGAGAAAATCCAGACACTGTGCAGGTCAGCTGCAGAGTCTCTCCAGGTCTTTTCAGCCCATTGCCGGACTGTGTGAGGGTAATTCAAGTTCAAGTTCAAGTTTATTGCGGCCAAAGCCAGTGACACTAAACATCCCAAGATCAGACAACAAGAAATCAGCAACAACTTCAGAAAAGAAAAAAGGTTACACAAGGGAACTTCGCAGTGTGCCATTCAACAGAAGAGATTTACGTTTCTTAATTACTAAAGTGCAAAATTTAGCCACCTCATATGATACTGAGCTTGAGGAATCTTCCAGGAGGTATTTTCGAAGAATTTCAGGGGAGGATTCCAAATAATATTGAAGGGGTATAAATTTTGATAGAAGCGGTAAAATAAGTTGAGCTCGTTCTTCACTATAGAATTCGCAAGATAGAAGAATGTGTGTGACAGATTCTACCTTATTAGACATACAAGGGCAGAGACGCGCATGCATTGGAACCCGCGTGAATTTGCCGTACAGCACTGCTGAGGGCATTGTCTCAAAGCGGGCTCTAGAGAAAGCCCATCTATAGGCTTCGCTAGTGATGTTGGTTAAGTAAGGGGCAGCTGTAAAATTAGGCCAAGCTTTTAAACATCTATACGTCTCTGGGAGTAGGGCGCCTTCTTGTTGTAATTCGATATCATAAAGTCTCCGAGTAATAGTAGCTTTTGCCTTGTTCAGAGTTCCAATAAAAATATTTTCAGGGTTTAGGCCAATTTGTTTGATCTTGTTAGTTATTTGCATAAGCCAAGGAGGATAGGGAACTGCGGCCAGGAAGCAAGGTAATAGACCCTTAGGATTGTAATGGATTTTCAGCCAGAGGGATATTGCTTGTTCCCAGACTTTTAATTCCACTCTGGGCAATCCTGCCTCTTGCCTTAAGACTGCATTAGGTGTACACTTAGGGGTAGCAAATAATGCTCTTAAGAATTTAGATTGTACTGTTTCAAGGGTCTTAAGGTTGGCAGAGGGCTAATTTGAGAGCCATATAGAAGTTGGGCTAAAGATTTTGCCTGAAAGACTGTTAGGGCCATCGGGAGGAAGCCAGCTCCTTTCCTTCTGAATAATCTAAGGATAGCATTTGCACTTCTTTCTGCTGATATAGCTGATGTGGTCAAGTGTGCTGAGAATTTGGCATTATAAGAGAAAGTAATGCCTAAATATTGGAAGGTCTTAGTCTGTTCAATGGCGTTCCCTTTACGCTCCAATTATCCTTCCTAAAGGAGCGGTTAAAATGTACAATTTTGGTTTTGGCAAAGTTAATTGTTAACAGTTCAGTGTTACATTGGTCACTAAACTTTCCTAAGGCACGTTTCAGACCCACTTTGGTTTGAGAGAGAAGAACAGCGTCATCCGCATACATTAAAATTGGTACTTTTCTGCCATTAGAGAACACAGGGGGGTGGGTTTCAATTTCACGGCAGCATGTGACCAGGGAGTTAACATAGAAGTTAAATAGGAATGGGGCTAATAGGCATCCTTGTCTAACTCCTCTTTGGACTAGGATTTCTCTAGAGAGTCTGCCGTCCTGTGCAAGTCTTATCTGGAGGGTATTGTTCTCATGAAGCTTAATCATCAGTGCACATCATAGCTTGTTAGAGAAAATCCAGACACTGTGCAGGTCAGCTGCAGAGTCTCTCCAGGTCTTTTCAGCCCATTGCCGGACTGTGTGAGGGTAATCTGTGAGGAACTGTCTGCATTTATCAGAAAAGAATTGAAGAAGACAAAAATAAATAAGAAACACGATGATATTACACACGAATAACCCCTTCTTAAGAGGAAATGGGAAACTATCTTACATGTAGGGAATATCATTAGGAAACCAATCAAAAGATTCCTCTCCATGACTTGGATGGTTGCAGGACCAGACGAAGATCTGGATGCTGCTGAAGACCTTGAATTTGGTATCTTTGACCTGCACGCCCCCTTTAAAGAAGGCCGTACCAGAAACCCATTTGCATGTTGTCCTGGGTGCCTCTCATAAAAGAGAACTGAAGGCTGAAAGAAGATGCAATAATGGAGTGGCTAAGAATGAATGTCAGAATCCCACCTTTCCTACCTGTGTTTGCCCATCATGTTTTCTGGAAACAGGCGTGTGACTTGATGCCATCTTGCCCAGAGTTTCTCTGGCTTTGGGAGTGAACAGAAATTACAATGCAATACTTAAGGCACTCTAACTTTAATTGAGAAATGCAGTTATTTATAGTAGCATTGGTCCAGTCTAGTGTGGGGAACATTTTTTAAGGTCAAGGGCAGCATTCCATTCGGACAAGTGGCAGTGTTGTTGGGCAGGTTCAGCAGCAAACGTTTGTGAAACAGTCATTGCAAATCCCCTCCCCCAAATATTGGTTTCCTGTCGTTGTGTATGTGAAAGTGAGTACTACCTTCTGTCCTGAAGCCATTTCAGTTCACTCTAAATAATGTCCTTTTGCAGATGGTTCTCTAGCTGCACTCAGTTCACTATATTTCTACATCAGTTAAAACTTCACATTAAAATTCACCTGCACTTTCATGACCATAAAATGTTGAAATTATTTAATATTACATAAAATGGTTTATAATTGTGTGTGAACTGTATTTTTAGGTTACTGTGAAAAATGTACGAACACGTGATGAAGGCTTGTATTTTCCCTTTTCGAATGTTCGGGGAAGGTGCTAGCTTTTGTGACTGAGCAACGGGTCTTTAGATAAAATATTGGAATGTTTACTTATATTTAGGAAGTAGCCCACACCATGGATACCTAATCCCAGAAAATGGATCTTACCTATATTTTAGCACTCTGCTAATTGGGAAAGGAGTACGGCAAGGCTGTATATTCTCTCCCTGCTTATTTAACTAATATGCAGAATTCATCATGCAAAAGGCTGGGCTGGATGAATCCCAGCTGGAATTAAGATTTCCAGAAGAAATATCAACAACCTCAGATATGCAGATGACACAACCTTGATGGTAGAAAGCGAGGAGGAATTAAAGAACCTTTTAATGAGGGTGAAAGAGGAGAGAGCAAAATATGGTCTGAAGCTCAACATCAAAAAAACAAAGATCATGGCCACTGGTCCCATCACATCCTGGCAAATAGAAGGGGAAGAAATGGAGGCAGTGAGAGATTTTACTTTCTTGGGCTCCATGAACACTGCAGATGGTGACAGCAGTCCAGCAGTCATGAAATTAAAAGACACCTGCTTCTTGGGAGAAAAGCAATGACAAACCTAGACAGCATCTTAAAAAGCAGAGACATCACCTTGCCAACAAAGGCCCGTATAGTCAAAGCTATGGTTTTCCCTGTAGTGATGTATGGAAGTGAGAGCTGGACCATAAAGAAGGCTGATCGCCGAAGAATTGATGCTTTTGAATTATGGTGCTGGAGGAGACTCTTGAGAGTCCCATGGACACAAGAAGATCAAACCTATCCATTCTTAAGGAAATCAGCCCTGAGTGCTCACTGGAAGGACAGATTGTGAAGCTGAGGCTCCAATACTTTGGCCACCTCATGAGAAGAGAAGACTCCCTGGAAAAGACCCTGATGTTGGGAAAGATGGAGGGCACAAGGATAAGGGGACGACAGAGATGGTTGGACAGTGTTCTCGAAGCTTCCAGCATGAGTTTGACCAAACTGCGGAAGGCAGTGGAAGAGAGGAGTGCCTGGCGTGCTCTGGACACGACTAAATGACTAAACAACAAAATCCAAGCATTTATTAAATTTAAGAACTGTGGGGGATATGCCCCCCAAAAAACTTATAACAATATAAATATTTTCACAGAGAGACAGTGATTAATTGATGATCATTCCTATGCTTCTTTTCCCTAGATCTGCTTCACTTTATTGGAAACCTCATATGACCTAAGAACTTCATATATTTCCACATTTAGAGGAGAAATCCTAGACACCTGTTTCCTTTGGGAAATGAAACTTCCTTCTTCACAAACTCTTCACATTGTGGTTTCATCTCATTGCTGCGATTTTCTTAATACTTGTGTTGTCGAACGTGTATGCCCCCTACAGGATTTCTCTTTCATGAGTAACATAATGGAATGGTTTTTGCCAGACCCAAGACTAGCTTTTCATCACTGTGAGCCTCTGGCGCAGTAATACGTGGCTGTGTCTTCTTGCTTCAGATTGTTCATGTGCAGATATAAGTTGGAGCTATCCTTGGAGGCAGTGAACCGCCCTTGAATGGTTGGGGAGTAATAATTGGTACCAGTTGAAGAGTAATAGTATATCAGCCATTCCAGCCCTTTCCCTGGAGACTGACGGAGCCAGTGTGTGTGAGCGCTGCTAAGAACAAATCCAGCTGTGGAACAGGTGAGTCTCACAGATTCTCCAGGCTTTTTCAATTCTGGGCCTGACTGAGTGAGAACAATCTCTGAACTGGCCCCTGAAAAAAGAGGAGGCACACCAAGTGGATTTATAAATAAATATAGAGCAGGTGTTTCCATGCAGGGCACTTAGCTAGACTGGTTTCTTCAAAAACAGCTTTTGAAGAATTACTTACAAGCAATCCCAGTTATGAAGAGGAGGGAATTCAATAGCCAGAACATTGTGAACAGAGAGATGAGGAACCCCACTGATGGTTGAAGCAGGCTCAAGGAGATCTTTCCTTTCCCTGAGGAGGAGTAAAGTTAGCCATTTAAAAGCAAATGAGAGTGTTTGATTTTTGCATATGCTGGGCTGGGCTGGGCAGAACTTAGACAAAAAGGGAGACTCTCATCAGTTCAGGGAGTGGAGTGAAGCAATAAAAGCTAAGGAGCCCAAAGAGGGAATTCCAAATGGTCTTCAACCATCAGTTTGGTTTAAACATGACGTTTAAGTTACTGGAAAATTTCCTGGGGAAGTTTATGTGAAATGAATGGAGCCCTTGTTTATTTTAATCAACTCTTTGTGTCTCTGTCTCTGTGTGGGAATTGTGTCTATTGCATCCTGATTCACCCCATCCATTCTGTTCTACTGTGTGTATTTAGGACACATTTTGTGCACACTCCATCCCCAATAAAGCATGCACTTCTCAGTGCTCTTAAATGCATTAAAGTGTAAAATGTGTGGTTTCTCCCCTACCAGAGATCCTGCCCCTACCCATAGATCACCTACACCTGACGACGCAGGAGCGCTATTCCACTTCTGCATCCCAGCAACTAGTATTTAGAGCAATACTGTATCTGATACTGGAGGGACACCATAGGTAGCATAGATTGTTAACATGAATTCATCTAATGCTCCTTGAAAACCACCAAAATTGTGCTCACCCTGATGTCATAACTCTGCCACAGTGTATTGGACTGTAGCTGAAGAAAACCACTGAATTCTCAGACATAAATGTTGGCAGAGTAACCGGCTATGTGTTTACAACAAGGGACACATATGAAGTGTATAGGAGCAAGGGATGTGCTTGGCTGGATGGCCGATAGCAAGATTCCCAATTGTTTGTTCACATAGAGATTTTCATGACTGATGACTAGTGATTTGGAAGGGAATTTTCTGCCTCCCAGCCCATAAGTACAATATCTTGCTGCTCCTCTTTCAGAGAAGAGTAGGAGGCTCCACGTGTTCTCTGTCCTCCCAATGTTTTGCCAGGCCACTCAGTCATGTAGTAAAGTGGCACTGTCTCCATCACCAAGGAGACTAGATCACCAGCAACCACCCCTATGAACCAACATTATGATTTTCCCCATTGCATAATGCCAAGTGTTGACTTCTGTCTAGATTACCACAGCATCCTATAGGACCACCCACTTCTAACATATAGCTATTGAATATTTTATTTTATTTTATGAAGAAATCAGTAGTTAAATTTATTATATATCTGGCTTCTGCAGTAAAATGTTGTTGTTGATGATAATGATGATGATGATGGCATAAATTTCTTCCAAGGTTGCATGCAGGTTTTTTCTTACACTTTTTATCCTCAAAACAACCCTATGTGGCAGTTTAGGCTGAGACTGACTCAAGGTCACCCAGTGAAAAATCTTAACACCCACAATACACTGAATGTGTTGTTTGAGTCAACAACATCTGCTCTGAAACATCCTCAGAAATTTACAAGATCTGTGGCAAATATATGATTTGCTTGATCACCCAAAAGGAATTCCAAACAGCTTTTACAACCCTTAGAAGCCACCACATTCTTTCTCTTTATACTCCAAATGGGTTTTTGTGTTAACTCAGATTCACTTTCCACCACTGTGTTCTCTAGCACAATAATACATGCCGGTATCTTCAGCTTTCAGACCAGTCATATGTAGATAGATCAGCTTCTTGGAACTGTCCGTGGAGATTGTGAATCGTCCTTTAGCAGAGTCTGCATAATAAGTGGTGCCCTTATTAATTTGTGAAAGCCATTTGAGTCCCTTTCCAGGAGCTTGATGGATCCAGGGTATCCAGTAGCTGTCTATGTTGAATCCTGATGTTGTACATGTGAGTCGAAGAGACTCTCCAGGTCTTTTCACATCCCCACCAGATTCCACCAGAGAAATATCTGCATGGACACCTGGAAAGAGAGAGAGAGATTGAGTTGCAAAATTTACATATGTGGATTATAAAGAATTCCTGATAAATCACACCAACTGCATTCCAACCAAAGGGATTAAATACCTTTGAAAATGAAGAAGCTAAATATGAAATGTATCCACAAAATCATTTCTACTGGATTGTTTGGATGGAAGGTTGGTGTCTGTCTAACAGTATGAGGATATTTCCACAAGCTCAGCTGGAACCCACAGCAAGAGTACGGCTCACATTTAAAGTGTGGACTGTTCCATTATTTGCATATCCTGAGCTTTTTCAGTTGAAATGCTTCTCAGTCTTTAATGCTTTTGTTTCCATTTGCCTCTATACACATTGCCTTTGTGATTTTCTAAGCAGAACTTTTGGTCTGAAGTATTTTGCCCGAACATTAAGGACACATTTTTTATATATTTTATTTTATATTATCAATATTATAGGATCTCTCTTCATTTATTTTTATGCCCGCCAATTCAAACAACAGAACTCCTGAATTATAATAGAATATCCTTTTTAAAATGCCAATGAATCAGGAAATAAAATTGTAAGAAAACGAAAGACAGGAGGTAGAAATAGATGATGAAAACAGTGATAATAGTATTAATATTTCTAAATGGAAATATAAGAGACTACCAAAATATGGAGTCACATGTACATAAGTAGTTTATAATGTGATCTTTTGCAATGAAAAGTTATTTTGGTTTATACTTGTATATTCTTAAAGGTTGGCAAGTCAGTGCCGGATCTTGGCCTCTCATATTTCAGTGGTACCCTGTGTTACTCCAAAATCCTGTAGCCCCCGCCTCTCACCTTCCATTTGACATCATTGCAGTGGCACCTGCTGTGGAGTCCCAGAAGCTCTGCAGCCTTTGTGGCCAAACCTGTCGTGCTCCCCTAGATCTCTCTTTGTGTTTGTCCCTTGGCTAAAACTGATGATGTTCCATCTTTAAAAGTTCAGAGAAGCTAATGCCTTACAGACTTATTATGTTGTTCCCCTCAACATTGTACAGTTTTATGATATCTTATAATTACAATAGGTTTTAATGTATATTTTATTGTTGCAAGGAGAACTGATCAGTATTAGACATAGGCAGGAATTGCATTTTTTTGTGTTGTTTTCTTCCCAGCTATTGCACAAATGTGAGCTTGGACGTCTCATCTACACGCTAGCATCAGGAACAGTTGCTGTGGATTGTAGCATTATGGTATCTATTTTGTTTGTCCTATCACTATGGAAATTTATTCTGAAAATAAATAGCAAATAAAATTATTATTTATTCTTTAGGACAAAATGTACTTAACCACCCTGAGACCTGTGGGTATAGGGCAGTATATAAATTCAGTTAATAATGATAATAATAATAATTTGCATTCCCACAAGAACTTGTCTAGCAGGGAA